ATAGTGTTGCGGTCGCACAATGGATTTAATGACAAGTGAACGAAACAAGACAATTTTTATAGTTGACGAACATAAATTCCGATTCCATAAGACACTTAAAAACGATATTCAACGTTGAACTTGCTACTTAAATTATTGTAAGTGTTATTTTAAATTGAACGATCATAATTTTATTATTTTTAATTCTGATAACCACAATCACCAAAAACCACATTAAGAAACGCTGAATAGACAACAATTTAATAATGCACTAAAAATTTTTAGTTAGTAGTAGGATTTATTGTATATTTAAGTTGTATTATGTTTTGTAATACTTAATATATAATATCTACATGAATAGTCAATTTTAATACTTTTGTACTATACTAGGTTCTATTTTTTATTGAAATGTATAAAACTAAAAAAATTGTATAATAAACAATAAAAAAAAAAAAAAAAAATGTTGTAATAAATTGATTGTGAGTCGGGAAAAGCAAGAAGTTTTTTTTCATTTAAATTTTAAGACTCCACGTGTTGTCAGTTTATTAAGCCATATTTCCACGACTGGTGTACTTGGTTAATATTTGGTACTAGTGGTTACTTACAATGCCGTCGGATCGGCAATATATTTGTCACTGGTGTCGTTCCCGAGGATTGTTGGTACAATACATGTGACACAAGACAAAGGAACAGCTGGTATACATGTATTATTGATCCCACGACTGGTTCGTGTAGACCAGAACCAGCCTTAGGGTAGAGCGAGGCCTAGGGAAAATTTTTTTAGATGAGGCCTATAGTGAAGACTTTTTTTTATTATTTGTAAGTCGACAAACGGTAATTATAATGTTTTAGTTGGTAAATTGTTGAGACCGACTCCAGCAGTCCAAGTTTGAAGCTATGTCTTCTTCAATAGATAATATTGCAAGTGAAGTTAGCCTTTCTTGAGTCATTGATGTTCTTAAATATGATTTTATCAGTTTTAATTTAGAAAAAGATCGTTCTGCACTGGCTACAGTTATTGGTATAGTTAGTAATATTCTGTGTGATACAGTAGCATTAGGAAATGGATTCTGAAGATCTTTTATAAACTGTAATACTTCGATAGACGTATTAATTTCTTTATGTATCATTTGTCTGAGAATTTTTAATTCAGAAAAAAGTTCTGCACCATCAATATTGTGTTTTTTACCATCCCTCAGAGAAATATCCAAATCAAAACAGCATTTCACTAAGTCATTTTCACTTATACCACGTAATTTTTCAGGAGAATATAAGAACCCATAGATATTAGAATACTCCTCAAATTGTTGAAAACGTTACTCCATGGATTGTATAGCAGTATCTACAATTTGATAAAAATATTCAATTTTAAATTTTTCTTCTGGTGTCTTATTCAAGTTTATTGGTTCATCATCTTGTTCATAAGTAAATAATCGTTTTATTTTTCGAGTCCTTGTCTCTTTAAACACAGGATTAATTTTTAAAATACTTACAATCTCTTTTGCATCAACTATTGCAGAAGTAAATCCAATATCTCTATAATTTTTCAAAAACTTTAGTAGACATTTTAAACCGTTAACTGCGACATCCAAGTTCATATCACTTAACTGTAATAGTTTGCTAACACTATTAACTAATAGAAGAAGGTCATACCATATCACTACGCTCACAATAAATTCAAAATTTTCCAATTTATTTAACGCAAGTGATTGAGCTTCACTTTTTATAGTAGAATCATTTGTAGTTTCAGCTATTTCTAAAAAAGAATCTCTAATTAAGGCAGTATGATATCTTATAGGTTTTACGCTCTCAATCCTGCTTTCCCGTCTAGTTTCTGATAATCGTTTTACTGTACAATTAGGAATATTTTTTATTGAAATAGACCACCTAATTGGAGAACCTGAAAATATAGTATATATTCTATTCATTATACCAAAAAAAGTCATTGCTTTTGAATTACATTTTGCCATATCTCCTTATAGCAGATTTAGACTGTGACAATGGAGTGAAAAATGCTTTTGGATTTTTTTGAAGAATTTTTGCTTGTACTCCTTTATACTTGCCCTTCATGTTAGCACCGTTATCGTATCCCTGCCCTCTACAATCTTCTATATTTAAGCCAATTGTATCTAATTCTGAAAGAATAGTCAAACTAATATTTTCTCCAGTCGATGAATAGATCTCTAAGAATTTAATAAAATGTTCTTCAATTTTAATTTTTTCGGAATGCATATCAACACAACGTAATACAATAGATAGCTGTTCTCTATGGCTTAAATCTGGTGTGCAATCAAGTATAATTGAATAATATTTTTCAGTACTTATTTTTTTGTAAATTGTATTTGATACAAAAGATGCCAACATATTAATAAATTCATTTTGTATGGATTTTCCTAAATATTGGTCATGTATTACTTTTGAATGGATTCTACGAATATGTTCTATAATTATGGGATCGAATTATAACATTTCTATAAGCCCAAGAAAATTTTCATTATTTGAAGTAAATAATGTGTCACTTTTACCACGAAAATCAAGATTTCGTTCTGATAAATAATGTACAATATGAAGAATACGAGTTAAAACTGCCCGCCAATGTTCAGTTTCCTTTCTAATTAATGCTAAATTTTGTTTATCAATTGTTATGTTTTTCTTCATTCTTATTTCACAACTAATCCATTTTTCAGTATTTAGTAAATGATTCTAAGAATTTTCATAACTTTTTATATTTTCTGAAATGTGTTTTCAATCACCCAGCCCATAATCTGCCAAACTACTACCATATGAATTTCCAAAAAGTTTACAGCAAAAACAATAGACGACATCTATTTCTTTGAATAAATTAACCATCTACGTTTAACTTTTTCGCCATTAGATAAAATTCTATTATAATGTTTAACTGTGAATTTTCTCTTTACTACATCATCACTAGATTTTATTGGAAAATCGTGATCGGTTATTTCAATGAGACCTTTTTTGATAATTATATCTCTTTCTCTAATGCTTAAATTACAAGGCCATTCACCGGGATCTTCGAAATTTTGAAAAACTTCATCATTTGGTTTACAAGTCATTTTATTAAAATTTGAATAAATAGTAATACCTTGTTCATCATTTATATTTACATTAATATTTTTAGACATGTCTTGTTCGTAATCAAGACTTAAAACGGAATAATTTTCATTTTCATTCAAAGAGGAAGTACTAGTAGGGAGTAATGGGACATCAATTTCACATTGCAGTTCTTCTGTATTTGGATTATTTTCTTTTGAAGGTTTTAAAATTTTTTGAAACGCACCAGTTTGATGTTCATAAACTTTTCTTTTCTTTTTTTTTTAATTTTTGACTACCAGTTCGAATTTTCGAAATTTATCTCGATCATGACCCATTATGACGAAGTAAACTGTTAAAACAGAAACGTAAAATATATAATAATACAGATTTACGCCTCAAACATACTCATTTTATTTCAAATTTGATTAAAAAAACTAATAAATATATAAAATTGTGTGTTACAATACATTAAATTTATGTACTCATGTGTATAGATGTACAATCGTATAATATTATCATTGACTAATGACTATATAAATTATATAATTTATACACATATGTATAATGTATATGGTATATTTACGTACAGTGAAAACTCTTTTTAACGAATCTGAAGGGACCAAGAGATTTCTTTCATTATACAGTTTTTGTAATAAATAGTTAAGTTAATATAATAAATTAATATTGTTTGAAATCGTTTTCGTTGACAAAATGATTTTATTACAATAGTATACGTATTACGTATAGCATCAAAATCTCCAACACAAGTACATATATAATCAATAATCTATAGTCTATGGTATAAACTACATAATAATAATAAAACTCATAACGACAACTGTTCCTCTGTTTACTGTATGTAATCTGTCCACTAAATTAAAATCGTATTTTTTTTATTATTTTTTTTTATTTCGCCGAAAAATTATAAAATTATGAATAATTTCATTAACGCGAGGCCCAAAATGTCATACAAAAGCGTAAGGCCCGGACAGGGGCCCCGCTAGCCCCTGCCTAAGGCCGGCACTGGTGTAGACCAAGAAAATAATAGCATGCTAACTTTGATTCAGATTCATTAATGCCAAAGTTAATGAGTACTAATTTTGAATAATATTTTATAATGTAATAATTTTGTTAATGTACATTACAATAATTTTATATTTACAAAAAAATAAAAAGTGAAAATATTAAATTATTAATAAAATTAGGCTTCCGCTAATGGTGTAATTGCAGAGTGATATGGTAAGGATAGATCTCCTCCCCCCCCCCCCCCACAATACGCTGTATTTATTTATTTGTATTTCGTTGCGTCTTATCTTAATTTTAAGTTTAAATACAAATAAATTTAGGTATATATTATTATGAACTAAAAATAAAACGATAATAATTTTAATACTTCATTAGTAAGTTTTCAATATAAATGATTTTTTAGATAATAATATATTACCTACTGTTTTGTAGCGATCATATATTGTAAATTGTTGTGTAGCAAAAATAAAATAAAATATTATGTTAATATGACTGATGAATAGGGCCCGGATTTCATTGCAAACATATCTTTTTTTGGTTAATCTTAGACAATGCTTTCCAAGTTTATAATTTGATTCATATAACGGAAACTTCAAAGGTGAAATTTTTTGCTTATTTTGCACATTTCAATATGTTTTCATTTTTAAAACATTTTTTAGTATTTTTCGGTCATTTTTTTTTTTTTTAATGCATATTTGTACAATATACGAGTAGGTATAATATATAGTATTTATACCTATTAAGACCATAGATTAAATATGCTTATACACAGTGATGTATTCTTAATTTTTTTCTAGGGTATACGCTCAGCACATAGACGTATATTGAGAGGAGAGGGGCGGGGAGCTTAATCATCTCACTCTCTCAAAAAAAAAAAATTCTAACCAAACCTAAAATTAACTTATTGTGAGTTGTGGGGTATACCACCGCGCCCTTATATTTAAATTGATTTATCTAACCCCCCCCCCCCCCCCCAAACACACACACACAAAAAAAGTTTTTAGACATGAGTTAGTATTTACTTTTTTATCACATAATTTTCATTTGTTATGTATGTGGTAAAAAAAATTGATCATAAACATTTTTTGTAAAAATTATAACTATAAGACAATTGGTAATTCAATAAAAATCTTTTTTAATAAGAACATCTGAATATAATATAATATATTACATAACATTAATCATCATAAATATAAAAATGTGAACTGATTATAGAATCTGCCATAGACTTTTTTTTGCAGGTCTTCATTGCTCATGGGTTTAGGTTTATAGTTCTTCGACTTTGTGTCATCTGCAGACCTATGATTGACCAACCAACTTTTGACATAGGTATCTGGATTCCAAATATTTATTGGAGGTCCATTAATATTAATAAACATCAGATTTGAAATATTATATATTGTTAGCCTTGAACGGATATCCGTGCATATATTATTCATTGCACTGAACCCCCTCTCACATTCAGCTGTTGAACATGGGAATGTTTTGAGAAAATTATAAAATGTTGGCATCACTTTTTCGGAGGAGTTAGTAGGATCGTCAATTAGTTTTTTCATACCATTAATCGCTTCATTTTGGTTCAATAAAAATCGATTACATAAATATTTTATTTTATCTTCCCCGTATCGAATATCCACTTCATCAGGCCATGTTGATTTATCTAAAACTGAAATGTTTTCTAAAATCATTTTATTTTCACTTTCATTTTCAAGAAGTCTTGACATTAAATTATTTTCTATACTTGTTAGAAATTGATTTTTATTGATATATATTAATTTTTTGTAACATGTGAGTTTTATATTTTTAAATTCCATTTCATCAATGGCAATTACTGCTTGTGCCATATGTTCACCATCGTGTGTTTTAAAAGAATTAATTACTCTAATACATCTCTTAATACAATGGTCTGCTTCCATTAATGTAATACTGTGACTTTGAAGTTCTGTTAATAAATAGCCAATTCATAAAGAACATCACACATAATAGATAGATCTTTTAAAAATTCAGGACTTGCCAATTTATTGTAGAGCCCTAAGTATTTACTTTTAGTTTTAGAATATCTACTTAGATCATTTGATGCAATTGAAAAATGATTGCAAAGAGCTGGGAATATTTTCCATACGGCATTTACTGCTCTCTAGCTACTTGCAACCCAACGGACGCTAAGAACACGGCCTATTTTTAAAAATACTACTTCTAATTCATTGCAGATATTTTTTAATTCGGTTTGATTTTTAGGCGAGGCACTATACAAAACATAAAGTGAATCTAAAAATAGTTTAAAATGATTTGTGGCCACTATATCTTTAAGGGAATCATTTACCGCTAGTTCCAGTCGATGATTCAAGCAGTGCCAACTAAATATAAGTGGATATTTATCTTTAAGTCGCTTAGCAACACCATTCTTTTTTCCTAATAAGACACTGGCACCATCACTAACAAATGAAATCCAATGCTGCTTTAAATAGTTTTCATTGAGTCCAGAACTGTGAAGACATTCAAGTAGTTGTTCAACAATATTTTCGGCGGTTTGGTTTTTTAACTCAACCAAATCCAGAAAAATAAAAATTGGATCTTTATTTGATATAGAAACTTTTAAATAAATAACCATCCCACACAAAACACTAACTGTTGTTGATTCATCGATTAAAATGGAGCATTTTGCATTATTTTCAATTAATTTTTCTTTCATTTTTTTAGAAATATGTTGAATTATATAAGTAGATGAGTACCTTGAATGAAGTGTACATCCAAGTTTAACACCATTAAGCATTTGTAATTCTATAAGCTTAAAGTGGTCATCAAATGGACGGTTATACTTAGCTAAGTAATAAGCAGTACGAAAAATATTACATGTTGATTTATTCACATCATTTATATTTTCCTCTAAAAGCGTAGGTAAGTTATTCGATTTTTTTTCATTAAGTATTAAGCATGCAGACTCATGTGCAGTCGAAGAATAATGTTTTTTAAGTTTATTTCTTAAAATTGATAATCGAGTTTTTTGGTTTTTATTCATTCCTCCGTCAATTTGGCATAGAGCCCATTCTTTTGATATTTCAATTTTTAGAGGTGTTTTAAATGTACGAGTACTCACTTCTTTACATATACTACATCCTATTTTACCATTAGCACATTCAAGCCCTTTGTACTTCTCTTTTTTTTCCATCTATTGTGCAGCAGACCACTCTGGCGGCCACAATTTATCTTGACATTCATTGGAATTTTCAACTTCTTTAACAGTAGATAAAGTAATCTTTGATATATCTACAACAAGTTCTTTAACCTATACAAAATAATAAATGCATAAATTAGAATCCTTATTTTAAAAGTATTTAAAATTATATAAAAGCACATTTAAGCAGCATTTAAATATGGATAACATAATTGAGTTAAAAAAATATTAATGCACGATTCCACCTAAAATTTTACAAGTGGAAATTATAGCTTTAGCAATTTAGTTAAAAAATTCAATACACAACCTTTATTAGTTTTGGAATGTTAATATGTTATAAAATTATAATAATGATAAATTAATTTTTAATTTTTTCAAAATTAGGTAAACATTGATTCAATAACCAATGTTTGGTCACCAATCTGCTTGAATTGGTATGTTACTCTGTATAAACAAATTATTTATATTATTATTTATTACCAAATAGGTAGTCCAAATACATGTGGTAAAACACAAAAGTATCTAATAAAATATATAGGTATTTAAATGTGAAATTAAATACCTGATTTTGATGTGACTGTAATTTTTCAAGACTACCATCACTTATGTTTGTTTCCATCAACTCTGTACTTACCTACAACAGTTTAATAATTTTCTAATAATTTTTCCAACAAATAAAATAATGTTTTAAAAACGTGGCTTAATACTTAGATTTACATTTTTTGATTTTTTGTTGAAAAATGCTAACAAGTTGCTTTGGGATCTTTTTTTGTCAGCCATAACGTACAGAAGAGAGAATACTTACCTATTTTAAATATGAAGACGGTAGTAAATATAATTACTTAATAGTCAATAGCAAACCAGTTATTGAAACTATTGAACTATGCTACAAATTACAATCAATATTATAGACGGATGTTATTATGATTTACACGATTAATGTATACGTATACTAAATACTACAGAATAATATATTATTCGCTAAGTAATACACGATTACTATTATAAACAACTTGTTCTTTAAAATATTATTGTGATTAAATACTATCCTCGGATTATGGTCTATGATTTTCGAAAACGAATCCTTTTCAATGTTGCAAACACAATAGACAAATCGTTGTCACAAAAAGTCAACGAGCGATTTTGGCGTTATTTTCTACCAATTCTGACTGATTTTTGATAAGGCATCTGTGAAAAACTCTTTTGTTTTTGAAGCCGCTTTCGATACAATAATACAATATCATTCTTATAATCTGCAGTGCCTCAAATCAACCATAACTACAGAGATAATATTACAACAATATTAGCTGTGACCATAACATTGATTGTGTTGTATACATAGTCGTGATTATAATTAATATAAATATATGAATTATTCTTTGATATCATCGAGATGTAGTTGTCGCAAAACAGGTTAACCGTGCGTAGGTCGTCACTATGTAGGTCAACTATGACAGGATGCAGTGGGGAAACGGTCTGCCGCCTGTGCAACGAAGTACTAATATACTTCCTAAGATATCTGTACAACGAAAAACGAGCCGCCGGCGTTGCTTTGCAATTAAATTTTTTGATAATGTTTAGTGCATTAAAATCTGGGCCCTAGCGATGAGTTATCAATGTATTATAAAGGGTGTTATGATGAAAAACCACCACAGATCTGTCTTGAAGTATTTTTTGATACCCCCCCCCCTTATATGACATTTTGAATTACGCCACTGGCCATCACCACGAATATTTGCTATAAACAAACCAGCTGTGAGAAGTGTACGTGGTTACACGTACAAGTGTTCAATTGTTGGCGTATTTGGCAGGTACACCAGTCGTCGGAATGCGACATTAATCTATACACCCCACCAAATCATAATTTTTTTTCGAACAGCTATGTCAATATATCGTCATAATAATTAATAGGTTAAGTCATTTGCGAATTTCATAGAACTATACTAAAACAAAATCATTGTAATTAAATAAAACAAAAAAAGGAAATAATGGGTGTATACTCACATTTACTTCACGTTTTTCTAATTTCGTTAAAAAATAAAAACATTAGGACATTGTTATCTGATGAATAAATAATGAAACAACACATTAAGAAAACCAATCTGAATTAGAGTGATACTTGAAATATAATCTATAATTATAGCCGTAATAGTATAATGCATCACTTAGACAAAAATAAATGTCTTCAAAACTCTATTTAACCTGTGGAACAATTGTGTTGGTAGTACATAATCATTAAGAGGGCGTCACAGTAGAAAAAAATCGACTGTAAAACATGCTTTCGTACTTCCAATAGTTCTCAGGCCTCGTTGATCGTAAAAACATGATTTTGTTATCAAAATAATTACGAGAAGTTGCACTAAATATTCTTGGAACAGAATTTTAAAATATTTTTTCTAACCAATTTTATTTGTGTTTGAAGTTTGTAAAATTTTCATTTTTTTAAAAAAATTATATAAAATCGGCAAATTTAGATATCAAAAATCTGTTCCAAGAATATTTAGTACAACTTCTCGTGATTATTTTGATACCAAAATCATGTTTCTACGATCAACGAGGCCTGAGTACTATTGAAAATACGAAAGCATGTTTTGGCAAAAAAATTATGAATTTGCCGTCGTCATGTGCTGCTAAAACGATTATAGCGGCAGCGTTCTGAAATAGTACTTCTTCCACCACCCCGCTTGCATAAGCAGTCGTACCGCATCAAAGGTCAAAACTGGTTATTTATCGTAGCCGCGCACGGGTTATAAATAGCCAAATACATCAATACGAAAATAATAATTTTGTCAATGAATAATATTATTTTATTTTTCGATGTTATAAATCGTATTCTTATTACTATCGTATTTTGCGCAAAATGGAACTACATAATATTATATTGTAAAATTGTCACACATCAGCTAGAAAACGTACGATTTAAACAATTTTTTTTTTCAATTATAGACGATTGCTCCATAAAATTAGCGTATTGATATTCAAGACAATTTTTTTTAAATTTAAATTAGTTTAACTGTATAAGTAAAAAAAGGTAGCCAAGTGGGTGTCGCTCTGCTTTACAGTAGGTTACAAGTGAGCACTACATACCTACTGGATTGTGTTAAATTTGATTTCAGTATTGTATAAGAAAAACGAATCCTAACGAAGACGAAGAGTCAGCCTATGATATATTATAATAATATATATTTGTAACTAGAAAATAATTTAAAATTTGACAATTTTTTTCAAAATTCAAACATAAAAAACTTATAAAGAAAACTTGGGCACGTTGATTTTTAATATTTTTCAACTGCTATTGTAACAATAATATGTGCAGGAGCCTTGAATTAAATTTTCACGCTTCTTGACCCAACAAATTTATAATTACTAATTTATCAACAACTATAGAAAAAAAATTGAAAATGTCCGTAAACAGCTCAGAAAAAGTGAAAATTTTTTGAAAATAGTATCAAGTATAGGAATTGATACAATATATATATATAGTATAAATTATTAAAAGTATCTACAGTTATTCGTTTTTTTAATTACAACATAAGAAAATCGCTAAATGATAAATCGAGTGAATATCCAATGTTGTAAAAATCTGAATTTCAAACGCTCATAAAGATTAAATTTGTATTTCCGGTAGATATTTTTTTCATAAAACTAGACAACCTTATGAAGAATCTTGTACTAAATTTTTAAATTTTAGATTTTAGATTTAAAAAGAAAAATTGTTATGAATTTCTAACAAAATAATTTGCACATTTTCTTCATTTTTACGTATTTTCTATTCTGTGATAATACACAGAAATTTTGTTATTTTCTATCAAACACGATTTGCTTATGCCTAATACATAAAACAATAATTTATATATTATTTACAAATATATTTTATCAATATTACGTATCATGTAATTTATTAATTTATATGGTATTCGAAGATATATTTGCGTCTTTTAGTCTAAACTATCTATGTCCTATACTCATTCATAGATAGCTAGATGTATGTAGCATAGAGTAATATAGAGGTGGCGTTTATTCTACTAGTGTAGCCAAAAACGTAGACTCAAATTACAGTATAACCATTTTAACGGACTAAAATATTGTATAGATTCAAACAGTGTAGGCAATCTATTCAATTATAATTTACTTACTGAACCATAATAATTATCGCCATATTTCAAAAATCAGTTTTCTCATAATGGCACTATTTATTTATTTATTTATTTATTTATTTATTTATATATATTATATATATACTAGCTGACCGTACACAAGATAGATAGCGAATTAAATAAACAGGCACCATCTCCTTTAATATGTAAAAATAAATAAATAAATAACAAATAAAAACATAATTAAATGAAAAATAAATACAAATATAACATTTACTGTCCTTAAATAGTGTCATTTTATTATACCAACATTCTAAAGATGGGGTTTCATTTTGACTTTAAACTATAATTTACTTTAAGCTTAATATAGGTAAATGAAATTGATTTTATTAATAGTGTTAAATGATCAGCTTAATGGACTACTATTTTCTAGACTGTGTGATTTTAGTGAAATAAATATATTAGAGTTGTAAAATGATGAAGAACTTTAGTTTGAGATGCAAATGTATTTATAGGTTGATTTTGATAGTGAATGATTTTAATAATTTTCAGTTTGCATACAAATTAAAATAACTTCATCGCTGGATAATTTAGGCCACCTTTATCACCTTATTTTTAACAGCGATTAATGAATTACAAAATGGTTCTCTGTTTTTTGAACATAATGCTCGTTGACAAGTATCACAGTTAATGGTTGATAACAACTATGTACAACAAATCCTGCGATATAAATTATAACTCCTTAGAGAAATTCAGAAAATTATACAAACTTTGATTACAAATATAATCATGGTCATTATATAATGAATCGACCTCTTCAATATGTTTTCAGAAGAGATAATATCTTTATTATAATTATATGTGGAACTATTTATTGTTTTAATTGGATCAGAACTGGAATAATGCAATATATCAATATTTTCCAAAGGAATGCAGTTTCCAGTACTAAAATTACCAACATTATGCGATTGTACTACTAATTTTTTATATGCGGATTGAAATTGGCGTGCTGAAGGATTATTGTTGTAACCACCCATCGCTCTTACTGAACCAAAAAACAACTCTAAATGATCTTGACTTATTGTGTACATTCTAATGTGGTCTAAGATATCTGAATCAATGAAAGTTGAGTATAAGTGTAAGGTAGAATTCAAACATACAATGAATCCTAGAAAACCAGTCTTTCTATTTGACTCTAATACAGGTACAAATAAGCCATTATCTTTAATTTTTAGTCCTCTTATGTAATCAGTCATCAACTTTGTAAATTCAAACACTTGTTGGAAATTGTCTTTACATATAGCTTTTTTATTTCCAATACAATTAATGGATCTAGAGTTCATAATATCAAATGCCGCATTGAACATTTCTATAAATCTTACTGTTCCATCTACATCAGAAAATTCTTGAAGACTTAAATTATACTTGCAAAATTTTAATGCATCTGCTACAGATTGGCTTAACAGTTGTGTAGCTAACTTAACCTTCATCTTCTGCTTGAAGAAAAATATATGACTCTTTCTTAATTTGTTCGCAAGGTGACACTCTTCATTCTCCTGAATCAAAAATAATTGTTCTACTAAATTGAAATATATTTGCTTACCATCACCATCAATAAATTCCCGTTTCTCGCCAAAAGCATTCCGCACAAGCTTCACCATATGAGCTGGATCCATAAATACAGCAATATTATCAAATATACTATTTAGTCTGTTTGCATTGAAATCACAGCCTAATAAACGTGCCATTGTTAAATTCGAAGAACAACCATCAAATGTTAAACTAGCTATAGAAACTCCTGTTTCTTTTAATAAATTTAATGCATGTTTCGTAAGCTCAGCTTTTTGAGCACCAGTTAATGAAGACGCTTGGAAATACCCAACAGGTATTTTCCAATTTTCATTAATAGATACTACCATAAACACTAAGCATTCTTTAGCTATTTCCAAACTATCATACTCTATACCGGTTCCCAAATCTACTCTCCCATAATAATTTTGTCCATCAAAATCAAGCTGCTGACGAATAGCCATCTCATCGAGCATTAAATTACAAATTACTGGTTTATTAGCAAACTTTACTTTTAAGGTAAGCATTTTTAAAGCTTCGCCAGTGAACCCTGGTTTAGCATCCACATGCAAATACCATTTCGACAAAGTTCGAACATGTGGTAGAATGGTATTAAATTGCTTTCTTACGTAATTATAAGCTTTAGCTGAAAAAACATGCAAGGACAAAGCAAATTGTCTTATAGCTGGGCTATATTTTTTGGGAACTTTTTTATTGTTATTTTTTTTAGACCAATTAGTAATTAAATCTGTGTATTTACCAAATGAATCTAATAAGATGTCTGTGGCGTCTTCATTTATAAGATTTTCTTTTTTCAACTGAAGAATAATACTTTTTAGAGATGCAATTTTTTTTTCTTTACGCCTTAATGCTTGTTGAAGTGTTTTTACTTGTTTCTTCTTTGAGGAAATTTGTCTTGACAATTTATTAAGTCCAAGCTTCAAACAACGTCGCCTTGGTGTATCGTCAACAGCAATGGTACTAGAAGTAGCCAAAAATGAAGGATCCACATTGTCCTTAACAAAATATGAGTACCAAATGTTAGATGATAAAATATAATTAAAGTTTCAAGATTAAATTTAATTGTAAAGTAAATTACTTCAACTGTAGTATTCAAACTGGTATCTAATAAAGACACTCCTTCACAGTCAATATTTTTAGCAGATACCTAAATGACAAATCAATTTATA